TCGAAAACGTGTCGCCGGTGTCGCGGCGTGATCAAAGCTTCCTTGGCACGCCGAGTGATGCATCTTTGTGCCTTCGCACGCTTGGATACCGGTCAAGAATTGACGCCGCGCCAAAGTTCTGAACGTGTTTCGCGCGTAGATGCCTTTAGATCATTTATATATATCGGCCACGGAGTTCTGGATCGTCCAGCTGTTCCGGTGAGTTGCTATCAATAAAAGGGGGAGATCTGTACGTGTTCTTATGTACTATATTAACCTTTGCTATGTCCCAAATCTACTCTAATAGATTCCGTGGGAGCACGAATAGGGCAACGTTGTGGAGCCAGGGGGGTTTTCGAAAGCAAAAGTACAAGACGGCGAGAATGAAAATCTTTGAAGCGCGGCCGATATGGTCGTGTGCAATCTGTTGACCAATTACAATTAGGCGAGCCGCGCTCAAACGTCAAGTGCAATTAAGTAGGTTGATAATAAGCCAGCACTGATCAGTGATGAGGAGCTGTTGTGAACGGTATTGTGTAAATCGTCTAAGGACGAAAAAAAAAGACGTACCTTCCCCCCATCTTCCGTCGCTAGTGGACGCTGGATTAAGCTCGTTTTAATCGCGAGGGGAAAAGACGCTGATCCAGAGGCACGAACAGCTTCACGCACATTGCACTCGCTAAACACATACACACGGCGTCGGTTCTTGGTCGGTATCCAAGCGTGCGAAGGCACAGAGACACGGCACTTCGGCGTGCCAAGGAAGCTTTGAACACGCCGCCAGCCCTTCCTTTCGACGCGTTGTGCCTTTTTCCTGCGACACTGCACTTTCGTAAAATGTTCCACGTGTTCACAACGGCGAGTCTCAACAATACACAGAGTCTTCAAAAAACTTCTTCGGCGAATGACGACGAACGAGTAGAAAACGTGTCTACAGCACGCTGGAAAACCGCAGCAAAGGCTAGCAAAAACGGCAAATCGTATCCCAAGCGAGTGAAGTCCGGTGGCTTCACTTGCGCTGCAGCGAACAAGCGGGGAAGCGCGAACCAGCAATTGTCATAGAGATCAGTGCGCTATTTTTTGTGTTATCGCGAAATCCGGTTGTTCTAACGGGCGATAAGCTCCGCCCATTGGCCACACTCTCTCAGCATAAACGGCCACGAAGCGCGTAGCTCAACGAGGTAGAGGGGCTAAGACGATGAAGTGCTACTCCGCTCACTAGGCGAAAGTGACCCCCTTTTACCGGTGCCATCTTGCAATTTCGACCACTAGACACGTGACCATACCGAATCTTGAGGCTTTTACGCAAAACCGAGGCTAGATTTATATTGCGATCGCTGTAAAAAAAACATTGCGAACTATGTTTTAGACACTGTTAGCCCTAGAGTTCAGTGTCAAGCTCGGATAAAAACCCAAAATACAGAACCGCGGCTGACGGCATCTAGCGGAGGCATTGCGAAGCTGCCCGAGGTTTTGTCGCAAAAGCACATTTTGGATTTAAAAGAAAAGAAACATAACTTATCTAGTCTGAGTAAAGGTTCTTTTACTTTCGTTGTTCTGTCGACGATGGATGTTTCGTCGCTGCCGGGCGTCGCTCGTTGAAAAGCTTCCGGACGTCCAGCAATTCTGCTCACACCTGTGACTTCGCTGGCAGACCACCAAACCGCTCAGACGTTCGTAAAGATGAAAAGTAATTTAATAGAAAATTCAGGACTGTCAATCAAGCAAGGTTTCAGAAAGAGTACGGTGCCAGATATCGGCGCACTTGTTGCCGGAGTGTGGGTTAGGAGGGTGCTGCTGAGAAGTCCGTCTCTCTCCGCTCCCAGTTCCAGACTGACTCATTCCGCGGGAAAAGACCAAAGCAAGCTTCTCAAAGCGAAGCAAGTGACAACAAATCAAAGCAAACTTCTAAAAGCGAAGCAAGCGGCAACAGAACCAGAGCAAGCGGGAAATGAGTTTTCAAAGAGTACGTTAACAAGGTCCCGCTTCTTTGCAGTGGGGCCCGAGGAGCCGCGGAGGGGTCGCTCTGGTGAGGCGAGGCTAGCCCCGCTCCCCGGTCATAACTCACGCGGACGGTCCCCAGGTTCCAGATGGCCCCCGCACCCTAGTTATATGACACCGGACAAAAGGCGCATCTTCGAAGAAAGCCTGTTGGTCCGAGCCAATTTCGTTCTTTGGCATTCCGCCGCTTAATATAACATGGAACAATCTTAAACGAAAATAAATGGTGTTTTGCCGCACAACCTTACACCCCCCACCTAAGATTGAGATAAGGACCCTATGGTTCTTATACACAATTACATTAGAGCTACAACGACATCTTGTCCCCGCTCGTAGCAACTCAAATAAAAGGGAATCTGTACTGATAATATAACGTACACATATTAAACCCTTGTCTTAAGGAACGCCACGTTACTCCAAGAAAGAAAAATACATGAATGCACACACTGGCTCATGTAACACTACGCACAAAAAAAAAAAACTAAAATAAATGACTGCGAGCACTTTGCTCAAAACCACTTAAATCATGCGGAAAGGCGGCTCCAGTGAGTCTCCCCGGAAGGCCAGGCTAACGACGCATGCCATGATGTCGACAAATCACACCGTCCAACATTCGTTAGGCAGACGCGAGAGAGCATCGGCATTAAGATGCTGCGATCCCTTTCGGTGTGTTATTGTGATGTTGTACCGCTGCAAAGCGAGGGACCAGCGCACGAGTTTCGCGCCCGTTGGACGCGTGAGGGTGAGGTACGCCAATGGATTATGGTCGGACACCACGTTGACGGACGCGCCGAACACCCACGTATCGAACCTCTGAAGGGCCCACACAACGGCAAAGGCCTCGCGCTCAATGGTGGCCCAACGCATCTGCGTGTTAGTAAATTTGTGGCTCGCAAAAGATATGGGCCGCTCTTTTCCATCAGTCCCCACCTGAGCCAGGCACGCCCCCGCCGCATGCGCGGACGCATCAGTGAATAACCAGTATGGCTGTTCGAGATCTGGGGTTGCCAACATGGTCGCGTCACACAATGCCTGCTTTAAGCTCAAGAACGCTCTCTCTGCCTCTGGGTTCCAGGGCAGAACACTCGGCACCCCCTTCCCGGTTAGCTCTGTCAGAGGCTTTGCGATCTCGGCGTAGTTCGGTACGTAGTCGCGGTAGTATCCGCACAGACCAAGCAAGCTACGGAGGTCACGTTTTGTTTCTGGTCTTTTGAGTCCCTCAATCGCCTTGATCTTGTCAGGATCCGGACCATGCTTTCCGGAGCCGACCAAGTGCCCTAGGTACCTGATCTCCCCTTTGGCCACCTGACACTTTTCGAGGTTGGCGGTGAAGCCCGCGTCGCACAGCACTCTGAACACTACGTCCAGATGCTTCAGGTGGTTCTCCCACGTGTCCGAAAAGACAGCGATGTCATCAAGGTACGCACAGGAGTAGTCCTGGTGCCGTGCTAAGATCCCGTTCATGACGCGCTGAAAGGTTGCCGCGGCATTCTTCAAACCAAACGGCATTACTCTCCACGCAAATTGCCCGAGGTGGGTCACAAAGGCCGTTCTCTCCTGGCTTTCCTCGGCGACGGGGATTTGCCAGTAGCCCCTTCTTAAGTCAATCAGCGTGACGAACGAAGCCGCCCCGACGCGGAAAATCAGCTCTTGTTGTCGAGCCATCGGGAAGGCGTCGTCCGTGGTTCCGGAATTCAGCTGCCGATAATCGACGCACAGCCGAATTGTGCCATCCCTTTTTGAAACGCACACCACTGGGTGCGCGTGCTCGCTAGTGCTAGGATAAATGAGCCCCGCTTCGAGCAACTCACCCACCTGCCTTCCCACCTCTTTCTTTAACAACTCGGGCACCCGATACGGGTAAGATCTCCTCGTTACAAACCCCTCGCGGAGGGAGATTGTGTGTTCACCCACATTTGCCTTTCCCGGCGTCTCGGAGAATAAGCCAGGGTAGCGGTCGAAAATCTCGCGCACCTCCCGCTCCTTACGGGGGGCAAGGTGTTTAGTCGAAGTCTCAGGCAGCCCGCGATAAGCTGACTCGTCCACCAGCGGAGCACACTCTACCTCTCCGAAATCCTTATCATCTTGAAAGATGACACCCATGTGGCTCACGCGAGCGTAATACGGCCGCATGTTATTTGCGTGTACGGTCTTCCTTTTTCCGTCATCCAGCATTACTTCGTAAGAATTGTCACGTTGTTTTCCCACGACCGTAAAAGGGCCGCACCACTTCGCGTGCATCTTCCCTGGTCGGTCCGCGCGAAAAAGAATCACCTGATCCCCTTTTTGGAAGCTTTTCTGTCGCGCTCGTCGGTTGTATCGAGTCGCATAGTCGTCCTGTCTTTCGCTCGCGGTGAGCCCCGCGATCTCTGCGGCTTCCTTCAGCTTCGCCCGTAACTCGTTGAGATAGCGGGCCGGCTGCTCGCGCAAAGTGTTGGGGATATCCATTTCCCCTGTCCATGTCTTCTGCAGGATTGAGAGCGGTCCGACAGGGGCCCTCCCGTAGAGCATCTGAAAAGGTGACACGCCCGTCGTGTCGTGGGGTACCTCTCTGTAGGCCCACAAGAGGAAAGGGACGAATCTATCCCAGTTCCCGCGGTCCCTGTCGATAACGTGGAACAACATGTTTTTGAACACGCGGTTCCACCGCTCGACCGAGCCGTTGCTCTCGGGGTGTTCGGGTGTTGAGAACCGCGGGGAGCTCCCCATCCTCTCGTGAAACAGTTTGGTTAACTGTGCAATGAAGTTTCCGCCTTGGTCGCTGCAAATGGTCTCCGGTACACCAGTGCGCGCGAACATCTCAAGCAAAGCGTCACAAGTTTTCCGAGCCGTGAGCGCCGTGAGGCAAATAACCTCGGGCCATCGAGTGTGGAGATCCGTGACGCACAGGGCGTACTTGTGGCCTCGTCCGGACGGAGTGTCCAGCGGGCCGATCACGTCCACGTTGACCACTTGGAAGGGGTAACTCGGGCGCGTTAGAGGCGTTATCGGCACCTTATCCGCGAAGCGTCTGTCCGCTCTCACCTGGCAACCGTGGCAGCTCCTACAATGCGCGCGCACGTCTGACTCTACGCCGGGCCAATAAAAGCTCATTTTCACCCGAGATATGGTCTTCTTCGTGCCCAGGTGGCCTCCCCATGGAGACTCATGCGCCAACTCTAACACCGATGGCCTCTTCTCTTTTGGCAATACCAGTTGCCGATAGCGAATGCCGGCTATCTTATCCTCGTGGAATAACAGACCATTCACGATACTCATGCCGTGTGTGCCTTTCTTGGCCTGTTCCCACGCTTCTTTGAGCTCTGAGTCGGAACGCTGTGCCTGCCGAAACATAGAGTTTTCCTCCGACCTCAAATGTTCCTCGGGGAGCTCGTTCTCTCCTCCGCCGAGAGTTGGGTTCAAACTGCCAGGTACGTCCCCGAGAACCTCTCCCGAGAGTCCCAACACCTGCCCAAGCGCTTCTCCTTCAGTGGAGTCAGTTTCGCTCCCGCGGATTGTGCAAAGCTCATCGGCGGCCCTCTCTCCCGACTGGTCCGGCGGGAGGGCCGTCGTCTCATTCAGCATATGCCACGCTTCTCCCGATAGGAGGCAGTCCGCCCCGGGGGACAGCTTCTCCGTCACCGCGCACAATAGGGGGACAGACCTGTCTACGTCGGATTGGCTTCCCCCCGCTCTTACTAGCTGAAACGCGATGTTAGCCAGTTTGGCGGTCACCTTGTCTCCGAAGGCAGACACGAGGGTTATCTTTCCTGCCTCTTCGATGAGGTCTCTAGGAATTAAACTATTGCGTACTACCGTAATCTCCGCCCCCGTGTCTATGATCGCCGAGATTTTAATGCTACCGCATTGAATTTCTACCTGGGGCAGGTTTGCAAGGCCTGGCTTCGCTTCGTCAACCCGCGACACGTTTGCCAACACCTCACTCCTATCGACGGGCGGGATTTCGGCTTCTAGCGCCACCATTCGGACGTCACCTTTACGAGGTCCGTCTCCCCGAACTTCTTTTCGCTGTTGGCCCCTCCCCGGGCATTCCCTAGCGAAATGGCCGCCGCCGCAAAGAAAACAGGCGAGCGGCGGTCTGTCAGTTTTTGACTTTTTCTCGCCTGCGCGGGGTGGCGGTAGGGAATCGGGCTGCTTTTCGCGACCCCACGAGCGGTTTTCTCCGTGAGGGCCATCGTTCAGCTTAGGCCTTGTGTCGCGCCCCACAGCTGCACCCTTTCCCTCAGCGTCCTCAAACGCTTCGATCAGCTTGGCCATTTCTCCCGGCACCGACCAGCCCGTGCCCTCCTGATGCTTTACGTACTTGTACGCCTCGTGACTCAGTGTTGCCTTTAACTGGTCGGCGACAACGAGTTTTGCGAGGTCGTCTCTACTCTTTACCTCGTGAGCCTCCATGTAGTACGAAAAGTAACTCGACAATCGTGACGCAAAATGCTGCCACGATTCGCTTTTGTTCTTTCGAGCCCCCTTAAACTGTCTCAGATACTCTCCCGGAGAGAGCCTCAGCTCTGACAGGATAGTTTCCTTCACCCGACTGTAATCGTCTAACTCCTCTGTCGAGAGCTTGGAAAAAAGGTGCCGAATTCTTCCCGTCACCAAAGGCAGTATGAGGTGGCTCTTAACCTCGTCTGGCACTCTATATGAACTAAAGATCCCCTCGATCCCGTCAAGCCACACTGGTACCTCTGGGTCCGACGGGATTGGCGTCAACAAGCTTTTGAGCTTTTTGGCGAAGTGATCTAGCCTGTTTTCGCGCGGCGCCCCGCCGTCTGGGCTCTCTCGCCTCTCAGGAGCCATTTGGAGCTCGATTTGTTTAGTTTTTTCTTTCTCAATAGCGAGCAGCATAGTCATTCTTTCAAGCTCCATGGCGGCTTTGCTCGTTTCAAGCTCGATCTTTCTAAGCTCCATGGCCTCGTTACGGTTCTCTTCGTGCCCGCCGGCCGCGGCGTCAACGACGGAGTCCGAAGACTCCCCCTCTGCGATGTTATTCATAGCGGATGGTACCTCGCCAGCAACGGTCCTACCACTGCGCATCAACATGCACTACAAAAATCGGGTTGTTACGGCCTTCCGAGAATATCATCTGGAACCACCTACCGTGTTCGATGCTTGCTGGCCCCAGGTTCGCCGCGACCACTGCTTTCCTGTCCGTCACAAAGTCCGTAGCGCCACGCCGGTCCGTTGGCTGGCTTTCTTCGTCCTAGCAGTCCGTCGCCAGGTACCTCGTTGTGACACAGTACGTTGGTCCTCCTTGAGCTCGACACTTTTGCCTTGCCCGTCCGTCGGCAAGTGGTGGCCCCGAGACACAGTCCGTTGGTCCGGGTTCCGGAATGGTGCCGCTCGCCGCTGCTTGTCTTGCCGATTTGATTTTCGGGACGCCGTTCCTCTGTCCCTCTCCGACGCCGATGAATACTCTTCCAGTCCGTCGGAAAGCACTCCCCCAGAAACGGTCCGTCGGTCCGGGTCTTGACGCCGAAGTGGTCCCTTGCCAGTCCTTGGGGTTGGCAGAACTTATCCCTCGACTCAGTCCGTCGGTCGGGATCGCCGGATGTCTGCTAGCAGATGGCCGCCTAAGTCACACCGAGGTACGAGCAGAGTCCTGTCGCGGCTGCGCCAGTAAAGGTTCTTTTACTTTCGTTGTTCTGTCGACGATGGATGTTTCGTCGCTGCCGGGCGTCGCTCGTTGAAAAGCTTCCGGACGTCCAGCAATTCTGCTCACACCTGTGACTTCGCTGGCAGACCACCAAACCGCTCAGACGTTCGTAAAGATGAAAAGTAATTTAATAGAAAATTCAGGACTGTCAATCAAGCAAGGTTTCAGAAAGAGTACGGTGCCAGATATCGGCGCACTTGTTGCCGGAGTGTGGGTTAGGAGGGTGCTGCTGAGAAGTCCGTCTCTCTCCGCTCCCAGTTCCAGACTGACTCATTCCGCGGGAAAAGACCAAAGCAAGCTTCTCAAAGCGAAGCAAGTGACAACAAATCAAAGCAAACTTCTAAAAGCGAAGCAAGCGGCAACAGAACCAGAGCAAGCGGGAAATGAGTTTTCAAAGAGTACGTTAACAAGGTCCCGCTTCTTTGCAGTGGGGCCCGAGGAGCCGCGGAGGGGTCGCTCTGGTGAGGCGAGGCTAGCCCCGCTCCCCGGTCATAACTCACGCGGACGGTCCCCAGGTTCCAGATGGCCCCCGCACCCTAGTTATATGACACCGGACAAAAGGCGCATCTTCGAAGAAAGCCTGTTGGTCCGAGCCAATTTCGTTCTTTGGCATTCCGCCGCTTAATATAACATGGAACAATCTTAAACGAAAATAAATGGTGTTTTGCCGCACAACCTTACAGTCTGTACTGCTATTAAGGATCAATAAGCAATTATTTGCGCGTACACTGTTAGCAAAAATAACACGCCCAGACGTGTAAACCGTTGTCCCATAGCGGACACGTCGAAACGTGTTCGTTTTACACGAGGCCATATGTGTTTTTCGTCTACACATGAGGTGCTGTGTAAACTTAACACGCTACACCGTGTCTGCCTTCCGCAAAACCGTTTCGAGCGTGTTCCTTATGAAACATGGCGGCCAGCGGCCGAGAACAGGCGAGAGACGAGCCCAGCGAGCCGCGCGCCTTTCAGCCGAATTGAAAGCACACAGGGCGCGTTAGTTCTCGTTCAAAGTCTCCAAGCGGCGGACGTAGCTACTTGCAAAGGTACGTACGTGCGTTGTCGGCGGTCGGCGGCGTCGGTAGCTTCAACGAGCCGCTAAACAAAAAAAAAAAAACAACAAAAACGAATGCCGAATTCACGTGGATAAATAACTTGAGCAAACTATTTAGAATCGGGCGGTAACTTGCGCCACCTATCGAGATTTCTAGCAGCCTGTTTTTAAAATAAACACGAGTCTGTTAACACTGCGAACGACCACGACTACACAGCAACCCTACATACAACGCAGGCAACACAGCACACAGCTACACAGTACCGACATGTACACAAACACAACAACCGACACTACACCCGACACTTCCTACTCGATATCCATTTCTCCCTGCGGCGCATATAAGCTTGACATGAGCGGGTGAGCTCTTTGGTCGCTGACCATTACAGATTTATAGAAGAATACACAAAACACGGCGCAATGGACAGCCGTGTTTTAGAACTGTTTGCATTTAAAACGTATGGAGGCAAAATCTATAATGTTAGTCCGTTGCAATAAATAACGATACGTTAACAATAAATCTTAAACCGGTCATGAAAAAGTTCAATTTTTTATTTTCTTGCTTGACCAGTGTTATGAGCAGTCCGACTAGCTTGAATCAGATAGGAAAACAAATTATTGGGATTTTGTAATTACGTATACAATAATAAATGAAAATGATCCTTGCGCAAAGCATTTTTTATATATTTTTGTGAAGGACATCCGGACATCCGCCCAACACTTCACTTCCGCTAGTTGCAGCAGTTGCAGTACGGGAGCAGACGCCTTCACTTTTGGGGCGTTTTGATGCAGTTTGTTGTCGTATGTCGTGTCGGTGTCGAGAAGAGCGGTAGGGCTTGGGAGTTTGTGACCGGTGTTATTCGTGAACACTGGTGTCGGGCGCTGATGCGTCTTTTTTTTTTTTATACTGCCACCACCCCGAACTTTGAAGATACACGGGCCCGTAGCAGTGCATTATGCTGAATCGCGAGCTCCTTCTCTGTTGACGTCGCTTTCCTGGTACCACTCGTGGATACTGCAAGCGTTTAAACAGTGTGCACCGTCTCGCCTACATCCCCGGTGACGTACTCGACCTGTTGAAACTTATTGCTTCCGTCATTTTAGAGTGCGCAAGGCAGTTATCTCGTTGGTCTGGTTTCGGTTATAGAAGCAAGGCAAAACGCTCGTAGTTCCCGCCCTCAGTACACGTTGGACATCTTCCACACTTTGACACCGGATAACTGAATGAACGAGGGTTTACATTCACTTCCGAGGTTACTCTCGCCGCTTCCTCACCGTTGAGCAGCAGGATGAGCTGGCGACAAGCCGCGGATGAAAGGCTTGAGCATCAACAGCCCAAGCGCACTCGGTGCCGATGCGGGCGACGCGGGTTTCTGTCAACAGGGAGGCCAGCACAAACCGTGACCGTTCCAGCCCTTCGTCATGACACGGTGTTGCAGAGAGCAGGGTAAAATACAGCTACACGGATCACCGAAGCAAACGACTGCTATCTTAAATCTTGGCTTGTGATTGCGCCTTTGTAGTAGATCATCTTATTCGTTTTGCTGGAGAGACGCAAACGACGGGCATAACAAAATCGCCTGCATATGTCGCATATCTCACAAAAGCATTTACCCTGTCACCTTGCGAAAAGCGTGAAACACGGAGTCCGCACCGTCCTAATCTTCCCGTTTTTTACCTGCTTTAGGGCAATTTGTACCTGCTAGTAGATATGCCTACTGAAACTGAAACAGGGCAGTGCCAGAGAGAAAGAGAGAAAGTTGAGAAAGCTTGCTCGCTCTCCAATTTCTCAACTCTCAAGTGATTGTACCATAATAAATGCACCAACGCGTCATCCAAAATTAAGAAAGAGCACTACGTTCACAACATAAAAAATGGTCTCAGTACATGCATCTGTGGGCAGGTAGGAAACCTTGCCCTAATTTATTCACGCCGCATGATTGGCGCAACAAACTCGTTGCAGGACCGAATCATCTACTCGAGCGGTGTGCGTCGCTATGCAAATGCAGTCCAACACGAAGCATAAAAAACGGCAGATTTAAGACAACAATCCGGAGTCCATTATTCAATTAAAACAACGTAATTTTGTTGAAAACGCCCGCTGCTTCTTACTCACGGAATGTGTCGGGATACTTCCACAGTTTGAAACGGAACGAAGGAAGATTTACTTTTAAAAACGCTCGCTGCGTCCTCCCGGACCAGCTGGACCGGATCAGCTGACGACGACGGGACTGTACCCGTTGAACCTCCACCACGCAACAAACAATTTGCGCTCCGTGTTAAATGCGTGGTTCAAACAGACCCGGAATACAAAGCACCGCACCACACACGACTAATGTTTCAGCTCTTTTTCGCATCGCCGGGCTGCACCAAACAGAACGAGATCGCCGAAGTCAACGCCGTGCTGTCGTGAACCTTGGCTTGTGGTTGCGAACTCGTGGACCCTGTGACTCCCTTCGCTTTCAAAGCACACACGACGATTACGAATGCTACTTTCCGTCTTCCAGGAACATCACAGGGGCACTTCTCCGGTCACGTCTTCACTATGTGCTCGCAAACTCCGAAGCTCTATGCGAAGCTTCTCGCGTCCCGTCAAACCAAAACAGTAGCGGCGCCATGCGTACTTGCCAGATTTTCTCCAGTCAAACAAAAACAACGAAAGCCAACCGGCGCTTGCTTCCAGCGTACATCGGCGTTGCGCTTGCGCCGTGGCCAGATCGCTTGCAGTTAAAGGTTGAAGCAAAAACGAAACCAACTGCAATGTCACGTGTTCACATCGAGGACACGCTTTTTATATCCATTTTAACTGTTTGGAACGAATAATTAGACCCATGACTTTATTTGTGGTGTCTAAGAAACTGTTATCAGGACCCCTAAACTAAATACAAACATGGGCGACATGAGGGAAGCCGCATTGCCATCGACCAGAAGATGGCGGCGAGCACGTTAAGCGCAGGTTTCGCCAACGTCCTGCGACATGGCGCAATTGCTTTTGGTGCATATCTGTCTCCGAGACATGTTTCTTTCCGCGGCATTTGTCTCGACGGTCCTTTCTAAGTGTGTCCCCAAGCATTCCGGTGCTTCGATAGCCGGCAATGACGCGGTCGTCGCCGGGGGCGATGCGTGTTATCGAGGTCGGCTACACGGTTATGCGTGTATGACCGAACCAAAGCACGTTTTTTACAACCTCGCATGATTTCTGAACGAATTATCCGTTACTCATCGTGTAAATTTATGGTAATTTGTGTAAATAGCGTGTTTTTCACCCCAAATATTCGCCAAATA